TGGGAGTCCCAATGTATCTCCCAGCCGTTTCCTGCACAGGTGGAATAGTTCTGGACTGAAGCTGAGACAGGGCCTCTTCAGGGTCTACTATGGGATGTAGGCTGGCAAGTCTGTCCTGGTGGCATAGACAGGCACGTCTTGCAGCAGTTCTCTGTGCTTTTGGGTTTGTTCCCAGACTGGGCTGGAGTGAAGCTTCTGGGCCTCTTCAGGATCTGCTGTGGGAAGAAAGCTGGCAAGCCTGTCACAATGGCTCAGACAGGCTAGTCTCCCAGCAGTTTTCTGCGTAGGTGGGAATACTCCTGGGCTGTGGCAGAGAGGAGCTGTAGCTGAGACAGGGCCCCTTCAGGATCTACTGTGGGATGGAGGCCAGCAAGGCTGTCCCAGTAGCACATATGGGCAAATTTCCCTCTGGGTCCTTGTGCGAGTAGTACCAATCTGGGACCACTTTTGAGAGGGGCTGGGGCCGAGTTACAGGATAGCTTTTGGATTTACTACCTACACCAATGTTGGTAGGCCTGTCTCTTGAGGCACTAGTGTGCCTGATTCTTCCAGGACCCCTTGGCAAATAGTTTTGGTAGCAGGCTCAAGGCCAGATGGGGTTGCAGCCAAACCCTTAGAAGAATAGGGCTATTTCCAGGTCTGAAGTCAGGACAGCAGTCAGCTGATCTGACACCTAGGTGTGGGTCTGCACTCTCAAAATTACCCTCCTAGGTCTTGGGCTCCACCGGGTTTCACGACTTCTTACCTGTGTCCCAAGGATCCCACAAAGACACTTTTCTCTGTGGATGGGTACAGAATTCTTGTTGTGGGGGGATATGAGTGAGGGAACCTCCTATTCTGCCATATTGCTCTCTCCTGTTTTCTGTTACAAGTTTTATAGTTTAACCGTTTATATTTAGGTCTCTGTTCCGTTTTGAGTTAAGTTTTTAGTATGGTGTACATGTAGATATCCAATTTTCTCAGTACTATTTGTTGAAAAGACTATCTGTTCTTTCCCCAATTGAAATGCCTTGCACTTTTGTCAAAAGTCAATTGACCATAAATGTAGATTTATTTCTAGACTCTCAATTCTGTACTTTTGATCTATATGTCTGTCTTTATGCCAGCACCGCACTGTACTGATAACTGAACTTTATAAATAAGTTTTGAAGTTGAGAGTTAAAAGTCCTCCAACTTTGTTCTTCATTTTCAAAATTGTTTGGGGTGTACTGGATCTATTTCATTTAATTTCAGGATCAGTATGAAGTCATAAACTGTGAAGGGTCTGAGATTTTACTCTACTTGCAAACTAACAAGTTAGTTTGTGACAATTTCACATATATATGATGACAGAAGATATCAAACCCCTGTGTCAAGGACAGATAGACGGTTTGTAATTCATGGTAAAAACAGCATCCAGAGTACCATCTTACTAGTGCCTCATTCCTCATGCCCCAGTTCTCCACAGGGCAACACAAATGAGAACCAGATGTTTACCTGAGTAAGCAATGGGTTTCACTACAAGAGAAAAATCCCCAAATTAGGAGACTCTGATGTTATATAAGGTTTACTGGCACATCTGCCCATCCTCCCGTTTAGGAAGAAAGAGATAATGACTTCATCTTTTCTCTTGAATGTAAACAAGTCTTCACTGGGGAGGGGAGTGGAAGGCCTCTAAGTTTATTATCTTAAAATATAAGCAAATACCTACTAGGGAGACACAGCTCTAAATCTCTAGCTTCTAGGGCCTTTGCCATTCAAACATGCTCTTTGTTCAGAAGACCTGGACTGTGTGGAGCTATGAATTATCTATGGAGAACTGTCTCCCAGAAATCAATTTGTCAATTGCCTCAAAAAAGTTCTGTTGGAATGTTGATAGAGATTGTGTTAATCTACAAATCAATTTGGAGAGAATTGCCATATTACTGAGTTTTCCAATCCATGATCATGGGATGTCTCTCCATATATTTAGGTCTTCTTTAATTTCCCTCGTCAGTATTTTTAAATTTTCAGTGTGCATGTCTTACACTTATTTTGTTATTCTTAAGTATTTTATTGGTTTTAATGCAATTGTAAATTGAGTTATTTTTAAATTTCACTTTTAGAATCTTCATCGCTCATACGTAGTAATACAGTTGATTTTTGTATACTAAGTATCCCATCACTCTGGTGAACTTATTAGTTCTAATAGTTGTGTGTGTATGTGTATATAAATTCCTTAGGATTTTCTACATAGATGATCATGTCATTAGCAAATAAAGACCATTTTACCTTTTTTACAATCTGGATGCTTTTTAATTTTTTTTGCTTAATTGCACTAGAACCTCCAGTATAATGTTGAATAGAAGTGGCAAGAGTGGATATTCTTGCCTTCTTCCTAGTCTTGGAGGAAAACATGCAGTCTTTCACCATTAGGTATGATGTAGGACAGGATTAGGAGAAATCCAGGGGTTTCTGGAGGATCCAGGAATCAGATTGGAGGCAGATAGGGAGAAAGAGTTGGAAGGGGTTGAGAATCGGATGTGGCTGTGGAGTAAGCTATTCAAGTCTGGATTCAGTCTTTGCTATTTCTTATCACTGGACCTGAACATAGGAGCACATCTGGATTAGAAGATGTCAGACTCAGAGGATCTTCCCAAAGGCAAGCATCAGATGCATTCACACAGGAAATGAACCATGTTCACTGAGAAGCTACTGGAAGATTTGAACATCTTTTTCAATGAGAACCCATACCCAAACCCTAGCTATCAATGGCCTCGAAAATAGGCATACATCCAACAGTACGGCAGGTCTGGTTCGAGAACCACAGAGCAAAACTTAAGAAAGTAAAATGCAGCCAGGCGCGGGTAGCTCACGCCTATAATCCCAGCACTTTGGGAGGCTGGGGCGGGTGGATCACGAGGTCGAGAGATCGAGACCATCCTGGTCAACATGGTGAAACCCCGTCTCTACTAAAAATACAAAAATTAGCTGGGCATGCTGGTGAGTGCCTGTAGTCCCAGCTACTCGGGAGGCTGAGGCAGGAGAATTGCTTGAACCCAGAAGGCGGAGGTTGCGGTGAGCCGAGATCACGCCATTGCACTCCAGCCTGGATAACAAGAGTGAAACTCCATCTCAACAAAAAAAGAAAAAGAAAAAGAAAGCAAAATGCGAGTGTATTCAGCAAAAACAAGAAACTCAACAACCACCAATACCAGAGGGTGAAGTCAAGACTAGTGTTGGCCTGAGAAATACAGACACACTACCCAGATTCCCCAGTGCTGCTCATCCTATCAGCCTGGTGTGTATGAATCATTCACTGGGCACTCATCCAACTCATTCTGTACCCCAACCTTAAGGTCCCTACAAATGACTTCCTTGGTCAAAAAATAGTCCATATTGGCTGCTGCCAAGATCCTAACATACACTGCCTCTAGCCCATTTTGGAATCCCAAGTTTGTTATCCAGGCTTCAATTCTACTTCTTCTGTCTGTTCATCTCTACAAAGTCAAGAGAGATGCTAAACACAAAAAAGCACGTATTGTAAAACAACAAAACAAAACAGTGGGGGTTTTGTGGGTACTCTTTTTTTTTTTAAGGACTTTTTTTGTGTGTGACAGAGTTTTGCTCTTGTTGCCCAGGCTGGAGTGCAGTGGCACGACCTTGGCTTGCTACAACCTCTGCCACCCAGGTTCAAGTGATTTTCCTGCCTCAGCCTCCTGAGTAGCTGGGATTACAGGCACCTGCCACCGCGCCTGGCTAAGTTTTATAGTTTTTAGTAGAGATGGGGTTTCACCATGTCGGCCAGGCTGGTTTTGAACTTGTGACCTTGTGATCCACCTGCCTTGGCCTCCCAAAGTGCTGGGATTACAGGTGTGAGCCACCACGCCCAGCCTGTGGATACTCTTTACCAGGTTGAAGGTTAAAGAAGTTCCCTTCTAGTCTAAGTTTGTTGAGAATTTATATTATGAATTTGTATTTTTCTATATCTATTGAGATGATCATGTGGTTTTTGTCCTTTTTTCTATTATGTTCATTTCCATGTGAATTTCATTTTCCTGAACGATTAGAAGGGAAATATGGATTTTATAACTTTATGACTAGAGCCTGTTGTTTTCGTGAAGTGTCAAAAATGTGGTGGCTTAATTTCTGAGATCTCCAGACTCTGTTACCCTCCCCTACTTTTTCTGGTCCTGTTCTTCCCTTTGTCCCTATTGTCACTATCCTGTTCAATTTAGATTGGTCAGCAAGTCTCCACAGTATGGATCTTTATCCTCAAAGGATGCTTTGGCTGGTTAGTTCTAAGAGCTTATATGACCCAGACTGTTTTAGATCTCTTAGCCCTTACTGCAGACCATTGCCATGGAGGTTTACCCCTACAGTTTTAGTTCCTGTTCTCACTTTGACTCTCTGAACTTTCAGTGAGTACCTTTGGTTATTTTGTTGTTCCCAGGTCAGTGAGATGCCCTGTTGCTTCCCTAAACATGTTTCTGTACAGATGCCAATACTGTAGGTGTTGTAGCTATCACTGGTCTATCCCTACTTGCTCACATGTATTTTTTTACTTTCCAAAACTTATTTTTTATTACTATACAAAATGTGCACTCTCCTCTCTTTTTTGTTTCTCCCATCCCACCCCCCAGAGAACAGTACATGGTGTGCAGGGATGGAGTGACCAGGAGGCTTTTGTCCTGCAACCTGCCCACAGGCTGAGCTCTGCCCCAGGTCTTTTCAGGCATCTAGATACACCCATATCCTGCCAGGCTGGGGCAAAGAGGTCCCAGCTCACACGTACTCCTTGGCAGAGTTGGACTTAGAGTAAGAGTGGGGTACACAGTACCCAGTTTTGCTTTTACTCCCAGGACAAGAGCAAGAGAATAGTGCACCTCCTAGGAGGGCCAGAGAAGACCCTGCCCAGCCAGTAAAGATAGCAGGTAATGTTCAGAGGGATCAAGGGGTTGTAAAAGTCTGTGACAATCTGAATGGCCATACCAGGAGAAAGCTACCAAGGCAGCAAGACCCGCCATGATGAAAATGACACCTCTAACCATAGGTATTGTGTTAGTTTGTCTTCACACTGCTATAAAGAAATACCCGAGACTGGGTAATTTATAAAGGAATGAGGTTTAATTGACTCACAGTTTATCATGGCTGGGGAGGCCTCAGGAAATTTACAATCATGGAGGAAGGGGAAAGAAGGGCCTTCTTCACATGGCAGCGGGAGAGAGAAAGCATGTGAGAGAGCAGGAAAAACTACCATTTATAAAACCATCAGGGCCAGGTGTGGTGGTTCGCACCTGTAATCCCAGCACTTTAGGAGGCTGAGGTGGGCAGATGACCTGAGGTCAGGAGTTTGAGACCAGCCTGGCCAACATGGAGAAATCCCATCTCTACTAAAAATACAAAAATTATATGGATGTGGTGGGGGGGGAGGGGCGGTGCCTGTAATCTCAGCTACTTGGGAGACTGAAGCAGGAGAATCACTTGAACCTGGGAGGCAGAGGTTGCAGTGAGCCGAGATCAAGCTACTGTACTCCAGCCTGGGCAACAAGAGTGAAACTCCATCTCAAAAAATAAATAAAAAATCAGATCTTGTGAGAATTTACTCAGTATCATGAGAACATCATGGGGGAAACTGCCCCCATAAACTAGTCATTTCCCTCCCTTGACATGTGAGGATTACAATTCAAGCTGAGATTTGGGTGGGGACACAGAGCCAAACCATATCAGCTATACAGGCATTCTTCACTTTGTCATTTTCCCCACAGCACATGCACTCCATGCCCATGGTGGCCACACACATGGTCAGGAAGCCCAGCACAAGGGATGCCACCATTAGGGCTCGAGGGGCCTGTATGGCTGCTGGCAGGGTGAGCACCAAGTCATGTATTTCACAGCTCATCAGGCCCATGGTCTGCATGATGTAGTCTATCCACAGTCCCTTGTACATGGCCTGGGCTGTGTTGATGCTGTTGCCCACACTTGAGCTCATCTGCCACTGCAGAATGGTGGTACAGGCCACAGGGCCCACCCAGCCCAGCAGAGCCATGGAAAAGTTCAGCAACTGCAGGCCCAAATTGGCCATTTCCAGCCTCATAAAAAAACTGGCAGGCAACCCTACAGTAAAGCAAATAAAACTTGGGGGCATCCCCATGAGAGACAACTTGGAGTGCAGTTTTTAAGTCACCCAAAGAGACAAAAAAAGGTTTGGCCGGGTGACTGCAAATTTTGTCACCCAAAGTATACACAAATGGACCCCTTTGGTGGAGTGATAGTCTCGCAGCAGAGGGAACAGGCCCATATTTTGTTTTTTGAGGAAGACAATTTATCATCTCGCTTTGTTGTACAAATAACTCTTACTTTACTTTTTATTTATTTATTTATTTATTTATTTATTTATTTATTTATTGTGCTTTAGGTTTTGGGGTACATGTGCAGATCATGCAGGATTGTTGCATAGGTACACATTTGGCAATGTGGTTTACTGCCTCCGTCCCCCCATCACCTACATCTGGCATTTCTCCCCATGTTATCCCTCCCCAACCTCACCCACTACGCTGTCCCTCCCTTGGCCCTCCCCAACAGATCCCAGTGTGTGATGCTCCCCTCCCTGTGTCCATGTGTTCTCATTGTTCAACACCTGCCTGTGAGTGAGAACATGCAGTGTCTGATTTTCTCTTCTTGTGTCAGTTTGCTGAGAATGATGGTTTCCAGATTCATCCATGTCCCTACAAAGGACACAAACTCACTTTTTTATGGCTGCATAGTATTCCATGGTGTACATGTGCCACATTTTCCTTGTTCAGTCTATTGTTGATGGGCATTTGGGTTGGTTCCAGGTTTTTGCTATTGTAAACAGTGCTGCTATGAACATACGTGTGCATGTGTCCTTATAATAGAATGATTTATAATTCTTTGGGTATATATCCAGTAATAGGATTGCTGGGTCAAATGGAATTTCTATTTCTAGGTCCTTGAGGAATCACCACATTGTCTTCCACAATGGTTGAACTAATTTACGCTTCCCATTTTGTTCAATGGGAAACCAAAGAACAAAAGTAAGGTATGGCAACTCCTGGGACTGTGACAGGTGTGTGTGGGGAGAGGAGAGAAATACTTTCGTTGGATCATATTTTTGCACCAGATGGCAGAAATAATTGGGAATGGAAAGGAGTAAACAAACAAAAATAACAACAACCAAAAAAGGTGACACTTCACCTCTCTTCAACTACTACTTTAACTTACTAATTTGTGTTTTTTAAATTTAATAAACATTAAGTTACATTAGGGAACCTGGAATCATAGTGCATGCAGGTAGTTATGGGTGGGGAAGAAAGGAGATTAATGAGCTGACGCACTGCTGTTGCAACAGATGTAATTTGAGTCCTTCAAAGAAAATGCTTGAGGTTTTTTATCATGGTGAGATAATGAGACCTGTTATTACAGTACATTCTCTGTTCAAGGAGAGAGACCTTGAGAGTGGATTTTACTCACAACTGCTGTCAGTAGACAAGTGAATGTTCATGACCTGAGTACAAGTGTTACTCAACAAGATTAATGAAGCCAAACAAATTTGAAACCAGTAAAAGTCATCTAGAGGCTCTAGGTGGATGCTTTTTATTGTATTGTATTTTACTTTCAGAGGGAGTCATGCTCTCTTACCCATACTGGAGTGCAGTGGCACGATCTTGGCTCACTGCAACCTCTGCCTCCTGGGTTCAAGAGATTCTCCTGCCTCAGCCTCTGGAATAGCTGGGACTACAGGCATGTGCCACCACGCCCAACTAATCTTTGTATTTTTAGTAGAGACAGGTTTCACTATGTTGGCCAGGCTGGTCTCCAACTCCTGACCTCAGGTGATCCACCTGCCTCAGCCTCCCAAAGTGCTGGGATTACAGGCATGAGCCACTGCACCCAGTAATTGATTTTTTAAATAAATATTTTAAAATCTGGCATGCGATGTGATTAGAATTCTCAGTCACTAAATCAGGGAATTTCCATTTTAAAAAGTAAAATGTTGGTCTTTTGGATATTTCAAGCCCTCCTCCACACACACTATTCTTATCCCAAGACTTTATTTCAGCCATCATGTAACGTATTAAATGTCTCCACAGATAACTTTATGCTTTTATCTTAAAATCCCCAAATGTTTAAAATCATGCATTTTAAACCTTTTAAATGTCCTAGTACTTGGGCCAGGCATGGTGGCTTACACCTATAATCCCCCAGCACTTTGGGAGGTCGAGGTGGTCAAATCACGAGGTCAGGAGATTGACACCATCCTGGCTAACAGAGCGAAACCCCGTCTCTACTAAAAATACAAAAAAAAATAGCCAGCCGTGGTGACATGTGCCTGTAGTTCTGGCTACTTGGAAGGCTGAGGTAGGAGAATTGCTTGAATCCAGGAGGCAGAGATTTCAGTGAGCTGCAATCATGCCACTGCACTCCAGCCCAGGCGACAGAGCAAGACTGCCTCAAAAAAAAAAAAAAGTCCTAGTACTCTTAGTAATGTAATGATGTCCAAATGTAGAAGCATAACTTCAATTCATTAGCTAAGAATAACTTTTTAAAAATTACAGTAACCAGCCGGGCGCGGTGGCTCAAGCCTGTAATCCCAGCACTTTGGGAGGCCGAGGCGGGTGGATCACGAGGTCGAGAGATCGAGACCATCCTGGTCAACATGGTGAAACTCCGTCTCTACTAAAAATACAAAAAATTAGCTGGGCATGGTGGCACATGCCTGTAATCCCAGCTACTCAGGAGGCTGAGGCAGGAGAATTGCCTGAACCCAGGAGGCGGAGGTTGCGGTGAGCCGAGATCACACCATTGCACTCCAGCCTGGGTAACAAGAGCGAAACTCCATCTCAAAAAAAAAAAAAAAAAAATTACAGTAACCAAAAAAATAAGGACTAACAGAAAGCATTTGTCTTGAACACTGAGCTTCCATGATAAAAAAAAAAAAAAAGTAGTAGATACACTTCTCAAGTCATTATAGTTTATTTAGGAGTCACAGAAGCAAACTAACATATTTATCAAATATGTTAATGTAAATGCATTAGAAAGCAAATCTTAATATACATATATATATATATATATATATATATATATATATATATATATATATTTAGAGACAGGGTCTCACTATGTTGCCCAGGCTAGGGTACAGTGGTACAATCATAGCTCACTGCAGCCTGGAACTCCTAGACTCAGTCAATCCTCCCACCCCAGCCTCCTGAATAACTAAGACTATAGGCACATGGCACCACGCTTAGCTAAGAAAAAAAAAATAGAGATGAGGTCTCACTATGTTGCCCAGGCTGGTCTTGAACTCCTGGCCTCAAGTGATCCTCCTGCCTTAGCCTCCCAAGTAGCAGGGAGGGGTTACACGCATGATTTACTGTTGCTAAATCTTAATTTTTGAGTCAACTTATTTTCAAATATCTTTCTGACTACCTAGAATATTCTAATTAAATACAATAATAGCTGGCTATGCTTTAAAATTTGGGGACGACTAATTAAAAGTTTTAATAAGGAAAATAAAAAATACATTGCCGAGTGATGATGTCCAAATAAATTGAAAATCAAACTTAAAATTAATAGGCAAGTGCCTCATTAACACCATCAAGCAATTCTGATATTTGAAGAACACAGTTGCTAGTTCCAGAAGCCGCCCCTGCTTCTTTTTTCATCCTTCCAACTTAATTTGTACATGTTGTCAACAGAGAGAGATTTATAGTTAGCAGAGTTAGATGAATAAAATTGTATGCCTACTAATATCTGTATCTAAGAAATAATTAGCTTATTTTACTTAAATCTATTCAAAATTGAGATAACATTGAAAGGGAGATTACAGTAAAAGATTTGTTTTTCTGGATATCCTGTCTCCCAAATTTTTAGGGTGGAGAACTGGTGAAGGAGGGGAATGACACAGGAAAGGAAACAGATCATAAAGGAATTACTGAGAGGAGAAAGAATAATACATACCTAAGAATAAAACATATAGAACCCCACATTATCAAATTTACAGTCTGAAGAAGGAGGAGCCCACATTCACAACTCCTTTAAATACTTTGAATGAGGATCTGACAGTGTTACATTTTATTGTTCAGAGTTGTACCCATTGATGCTGTTCAAAGGCCTGGACTGAAGGATGTGGAAGAAATAACTTGTCGAAAATATTTGCTGGCCAGGTCCAGTGGCTCATGCCTGTAATCCCAGCACTTTGGGAGCCTGAGGTGGATGGATCCCCCGAGGTCAGGAGTTCGAGAACAGCCTGCCCAACATGGTGAAACCCTGTCTCTACTAAAAATATAAAAATTAGCTGGGCATGGTGGCTACTGTAGTCTCAGCTACTTGGGAGGCTGAGGCATTAGAATCACTTGAACATGGGAGGCGGAGTTTGCCGTGAGCTGAAATTGCACCACTACACTCCAGCCTGGGCGACAGTGAGACTATTTCAAAACAAAAACAAAACACCACGTGTTCTCACTCATAACCAGGAACTGAACAATGAGAACACATGGACACAGGGAGGGGAACAATACACTGGGGGCCTGTCAGAGGCTGGGCTGGGGAGAGGGAGAGCATTTGGAAAAATAACTAATGCATGCTGGGTTTAATACCTAGGTGATGGGTTGATAGGTGCAGCAAACCACCATGGCACATGTTTACCTATGTAACAAACCTGCACATCCTGCACAGTACCCTGGAACTTAAAAATAATAATTTTTTAAAATTTTGCCTAGTGGCCATTATAGTCCTTAAAGCATAATAGTCAGCCAACAGCTCCCTGTTGAAACACAATTAGATTAGGCAACATGATTCATCTTAAATACTTATTTAGCACCTGATATATGTAAGAGATGATTCTAAATACTGAGACTAAATAAAACGGCAAAAATTTCTACCTGCATAAGATTATATTCTTGTAGGAAAAGCTGATCGAAACAGAATAAATAAGTAAAGTTATAGAATATAGATATAGATAGAAAAAGAGCTATGTCAATAATGTTAAGTACTATAGAGAAAACAATAAAGCCAAGAAGGGAAATAGGATGTTTGGGCAGGAGTGGCAGTGGTGTTGGT